AGCAATTAGAAATTACCTTCTTATCAGTAGGGAAATGGGTCAATTCTGCTCTCCTTTGCAGAAAAACCATTTCCAGAAAAAGCTGAGTCTCCTACAAGGCTTACAAACCCCTCTTACCAAATCTACATTCCATCCTTCCCTCTCCTCCTGGATCTCATCACCACTTTCACCCGTATTCTCTTGGCCTCCTTGCTCTCCAACCACTGAAGCCACTCTAGGGCCTTGTGTTGTTTCCCCACTTAGAACATCCTTTCAAATCTATTGCTTCCCTTGATCACATCACCACTAAAGACCTTCCTAAACCGCCCATTATAAAGCAACAGCGAGCTTCCTACCCTTTTGTCCTACTTTATCACTTATTAGCCACCTAATATTTGCTCCCCTCTCTATCCAGTCTAAAAACTCTGTAAGGATATTTTGTTCACGTATGTATCCCAAGGCCAGCACAGTAACTAACAGTGTAGGGGTTCGAAGTTTATTAGACAAAGCATGCAACCTTCAGCTAACTACTTAGCATGTAATATTAAAAAACCAGGAGGCATCTAGTATGAAATACGCAAGACACAAGCATATTATAGCTTCAGAGAAAATATGAGGGCACTTCAAAACTCTGGTGGAAAAATGAACTTTCTCCAGGAATACTGGAATGTAAATTTGTTTATATCCGGATAGACTACCCAGCAGGCTACGAGCTGCTAATAATGGTTGCCTCCTAGGGGGGGAACTGGCTAGCTGCTTGAGGGGTAGGGAGCCTCCTCATTATGTAAACCTTGAGAAGATTAGCAATTCAAACTATGAAATGAAAAAAACAGACTGGTGCAGTAGCCTAAGGGAAAAGGAATGAACTCTAGGATTGAAAAGGGCCTTCAGGGCTTACAGTCAATAGCTCCTGCATTCTACACCCTTCAGAACTACCCTTCTATCCAGCATCCTTCCAAGTCTGGAAAGAAAACAGCTAAGTTATTAGTAACAGTATTATCCCCAGAGGGCAGGGCTGAAGGTTGTCTTCTTTTGTCCTATTTTCTGATTATTTCCTATGCGGTTTTGAGTTGCAATACAATCGCAAGCAAAATTATTTTAAGGGTCTTACCAGCAGAAAAACAAGGGCTTTAAGCTTTAGTTTCACCTACCACCTACCAGGCCAACGAACCTCATGGCCTGAAATGTGTACTCACAAAGTATGCGTTAACTGGCTCGCCCATGATTTTCAGTGGTTTGGCAGTTATGCAATTTGGCAGATATGTGGTGGTGTTATCTAACGTGATCGGCCAATCACTTAAAAGAATACTTACTCAGATCACAGCAGATTGACATGAAGTTTTCTGGGATGTGGTCTGCATCATTTTAATTTCACAAGAGGTAAAAGCTAGCAGAGGGTCATCGTTACTAGCACAAAAGGAGGTAGCAGAGTACCATCCTTTGGACCCAGGATTGCTGCACTTAGAATCTCCTAGATTCAGGGCAAGATTGAAGCTAAGACACAAAAACCTCCAAGGGACACTGGGCCCACAGGTGTTGAAAGGAGACAAGACTTTTCCCCCATAGCTGACCAAAAAAGCCATCCCCTAGAGCTGGCACCATGCCTTTGAACGTCATTTTCAGCGAGATTGTACGAAGAATGAGAAATCAGGATTGGAGGAAGGCTTACCAACTATCTGTGGTATGCACAAGAAACCACCTTGTTTGCTAAAAGTTAGGGGGACTTGAAGCACTTGATCAAAAATTGCAGGTTTCAGTAGGGATTGCAACTCAAATGTAAAGAAAACCAAAATCCTCAAGTGGAACATAACTGCAAAAATGGTTCAAGTTGTCAAGGATTTCATCTTCCTTAGATCCAGTCAATGCCCATGGAAGCAGCGAGCAAGAGATCAGAAGATGAGTTGCACTGGATATAGTCGCTGCATGACGCCTTTATAAAGCACTGAAAAGCCAAGGATGTTACTCTGAGGCCTAAGGTACACCTAACCAAAGCCATGCTATTTTCAACCTCCTCATAATGTCTGTGAAAGTTGGACACGGAATATGGAAGACTGAAGAAAATGCAGAAGATTTTACGTATTCTGCACTGCCCGAAGAAACCTGGCCTGGAAGCACAGCCATAAAGCCCCTTAGCGGCAAGGACAGAGACTTTGTACTCTGTACTTTGGACATGTTCTCAGGAAAGACCAGTCCCTAGAGGACATCATCCTTGGTAAAACAGAGGGGAAGAGAAAAAGAGGAAGACCTTTGACTGGATGGATTGACAGTGGCTGCAACAATAAGCTCAAACCTGAGAACAGTATGAGGATAGTGCAGGACCGGCAATTTTGATCTGGGTCTGCACAGACTCAAGGGCACCTAACAACAGCTTCCTCAGCTGAGAATACAGCCATTAGTCACCCACGTGTGCTTCTGTTATAGCAGCACCAGATTACCTAGACAGCCACCAACCTGAGTCCATTTCCTCTTCTGGGAGATGGAGGTCACATTTTGCTATGGGAATGAAATATCTATTTTCACTTAAAAAAAAGGTAAACAAAGCCTGTATCAGTCTGCTGCAGACATGGTCAGTGATCACTTTCCTTCCCCAAACTTTCAGAATGCCAACTGGCACCAGCTGTTCACCACACTCCAATATCTGCCCACCTAGCATTTCTAGTTAAACTTCTGATCCAGGATGTTCTCCCAGGTATAAACCTTCTGCATCGATTTGCCTTGAAACGAATGGACCCAGCACATCTAAAATGCCTTATTTTTTAATGCACTCTGAAACCAATACAAGCTTACTACTGACAAGTTGTTCGATAGCAGAAACATGTTTAAACATGACTTGTTTGGAATAAACCCATGCATTAACTGGAACCTGAGTAGCACCCTTTTTTCACATAACCTTGTATGTAGCTGGTATGTAACCCTCCCATCCAAAGAGCTCCAAGCTAAGAGCTTGATCTGATGAAAACAACTTTGTTCACTTGGGAACTGGAAACTTTTACAGTTCCAAATCCCTATTAGCTTAATGTCTTGGAAAAACACCATGCTTCTTTAAATTATACCTACAAAAGATGACAATCCTATCCCAATTCATTTACCATAACATCTCAATTTGACAAAATATTAGGGTCTTTAGGTTTTATCCTGAGGACACAGCCAAATGGTTAAGAACCACTGCTGACTTAATTCTCAGCCTAGTTCAAAACCAATGCAGACCTACCGCAGGTCCAGCATTCATTACTTATCTCTTAATTGGTTGCCCTGATAACACTGTGGTATAAAGACTAGCCTGCTAAACACAAGGTCAGGAGTTCAAAACTCACCAGCAGGCTTAGTGGGACAAAGTTGAGGCTTTCTGCTCCACTAATGAATTATAGCCCCCAAAACCCTAGGGAGTTCTACCCTGCACTATAGTCACTAAGTGTATTTAGTGACATATTGAAGAACAAAATAAGGTTCTACATCCAAAAGTATTCAACCATCTACCATGTTAAGTTTGCTAAACTCAAAATCCAGGCTTATTCTGAACCACCACGTTTCAAGTCAAACCATCAATTTTAAAGACCTAATATAAAACGTACCACACACACAAAGGTACTGAGTCAAAAGGAAAGGTATTGGTCTAGATAGCCAGCACTCATTCCCACACTAATGTTAACTATTGTCTTCTATTGGAACACTTTTTTTTGCAGTTCCTCCATTCCCTTTCACACTAATTTTCAGGGTGCTAACCAATCCCTAAACTACAGGATTAACCATTCCTAATCTTGATTCAAACTCCCATCTCAAAAACTGAGTATCAGGATTTGTTTTCAATCTCTAGGATTTATTGAGTAAACTTTTTATATACACATAACAATCAAAGCTAACCAAGCGCAACAAATAAGCCTGCCAATTATACACAACATAACTTAATATTTCCACTGTACTGACGTTATCAATCTAGACCACCAAATAAATTTGAAGCAGACCAGCATTCCCAAATTGCAATGCTATTGGTTTTGTTGTACATTATAAGAAAATGGACAAGGACAAACACTTGTGCCATCAGCATTGCTAAGAGGTGATATAAAAAAAAAGTTTTCATTTTTGCTATTTGCACATAGGATAGAGAATACCTGGTAAAAGCTTGACCAGAAAATGTTGATCAATTGTTAATACCCTAACTAGTAAGAGGATTAAAAAAGTCTGAATAAAGAACTACTGGCTGTCACATTCTAAGATCTACCAGGTGCTATAAGAAAAACTTTGCTACATGAGGAATTGCTAAAATATAAGTGGATTTTACAAAACTGCTTTTGTCTCACATAACATTTGTGGTTGACATCTTCATTCATGGCACCAGCCTGGCAAAATAGGAGGAATTATGTTGGATGGTGGGAACTAAAAAACTGCTAGAAAATTAACAGAGGTCTACTCAAAGTAAAGCAATACATCTAAAGGACAGAGTATTAGGGCTCGAAAATTTTGCAAAGCTGGTTTACAAAGATGTTTTGCCCTAAATTCAGACAACTCCTCAAACATGCACAGGGGGCTGTGGGGTATTAAGAATAATTTTTTAAAAAAGGTTGAATAATGTCGAAAGAAAAAGCACACCAGGCTCCCCCCAATACGGGGAATTCTATTTTGACACCTAATAGCCTGAAAACTTTAGTTGCTTCAGAAACCCGATTTCCTACAGTGTCAAGTCCCAACTACTTGTGCCATTTACTTCAATAAGCTCTTTGCCTAGTTCCTCTCCACTCATTCATAGGCAAGTAAGTAGTCCCTCTAGTTTGACAGATTTAGTATTAAGTCTAATACCAACTTCAAGTACACTGACGCTTAAGGACTTGTACTGTACACTATTATTATGAGGGACCTCAAGATCAGATCTTACTCAATGGCTTTGAGGGTAATAAAGAAATTTCAAAACCCTGTAAGGCCCTGGGGCCAACAAAAACAATTAATGATGTTCAAAGACTTAACACCATTATAAATTTTCATATATCAAGTTTACCAAATTGAAAGTTATTAAACACAAATCAAAATTCTAGTTAGAAACATTTTATTTAAATGTGCCAAATAAAAACCCCACACGTTCAGATCATAGGATGTTAGCTACATTCAACAAAAATGTATATTATCTTACTGCTGTGAATTTACAGAGTAATAATCCAGATCCATTTTGATTAGATGGTTCGAATACCATTCCTCAGTTACACTTTACAGACATCACAAATCCCTTATAATAATGTAAACAAAATAACTTTTCCCAAAAGATGAACTTGAGAGCTTCAGTCCATTCTTTCAGGGCTTGCACTTCTGCGCGGACTTCCTGATGGGGAACGACTAAAAAGGAAAACATTAGGTTTAAAACCAGTTAGTGTCCACTCACAATTTTATTTTAATGTACATGGTCAGGGAAACATTCAGTTTCAATTTAAAGTGGCCAAAGATACCAAGACTAAGTTCTTAGAGCAATGATCTAAAGCACCTATTTAAATGTATTCTCCTTAAATTTAATATGCTCAATAATCCAGAGCCTCTTTTGATAAAGCTGTACAGCATCATTTTTGGTCATCCAGTATAGGTATGTGGTAATTGTGAATTTGCAATATAGGATTGCTCCACATGTAGGCATTTCCTTTAACATAGTTTTCCTTGTGCAGGGGGAAAAAATGCAATTCACCATGAAATTGTAGAATTTAAGCTTAATAGACTAATTAAATTCATCTTAGTAACACTTCAAAGCTACATATTAAGAAAAAGCAGTCACTTCAAAAACTTATCTTTTATCTATATAGCACCAATCCTCCAAAGAGCTCAAAGACTGCAAAGTAGGCAGTTAGCAAACAAGCTGCAGAGGCCACATTTGACAGTAACATTTTGTCAAACAGAACGTTTTATTTAACTTACCTTCTTTTTGGAGATGGTGATCTGGACTTTGATCGGCTGTCAAAACAGGAGAAATTCTATTAAGCCAAGGTACTAGTACTAGCCAATTACGATCTTAGTCAGAAAACAAAAAAATGAGCCCCCAAATTGTCTTAAGCTTAAATTGGAGGAAAAGAAAGTGCTTAATGCCATATGCATTATTTCCGGATACTTCTCCATGCAAAAAACAGGTAGTCCATGACTTACGATATCCTCAACTTCATGTGCAGTACATCTTTTACTATGTACTACAATGCTACATCATTTGCAGATGTTCCAAGCCCAGACTGATCTGTGCGTGTAATGGTACCGACACAATAACTGGGAGAACCATGAAGCTTCTTAAGAAAGCGGACGCTTTTTATCCTAGTAATGAGGAGTTAGTCTCTGAACCCAGAAGCAGGTCTACCCTGACCTATCGGGTCTTATCAGTCGGAATCCATTGGATGGGTGTTTTTTAATTTCTTGATAATGAAAACTCATTTTTTACCCAACTTACAATAGTCATCAGAACAGAGCCCTGTTTAAAATTAAGGACTACCTGTAGTTAGCTCTAACAAGGGCCTCTAAGAATTAGAATTCCCAAGATGAACTGCAAACTTTCTCCCCTAAAGTTTCAAATTCCATTATTCAGAAAGTCTACCAAGGGTGCCATTTACCAATGAAGCTATATTCAAAGTTTGATTTATAATTAATATGCTTTGTTCCTACTTAACACTCAGGCTTAAAGCTACTTGATATGTCAACAATACAAAACACTTTGAACTCTTTGGATATTGGTGCCATATAACTAGGAGGGTATTAATCAGCCTTTTTAGCCTACCTGCTTCTTGGTCGTGAAAGAGACCGGGATCTGGATCGTGACCTTGAACGAGATCTTAAAAAGAAAACACGATTAAGCCATTAGTCCATAGGAGCAATCCCTTCAAATATCTACTAAGTACCATATTAGTTTGGCTGGGAGACACTAACACTGAGTAGTAAGCTCCAACTCTTGCCCTGTCAGTTGAAGATAGGCAAATTATTACTTTGAACAAGCATGTCAAAGATTTAAGATATGTTTTATTTCTATTATGACAGGTGACCAATAGAGGACATCCTACTTCTGTGAAAGAGGAGACCCCTCAAAATGGATTGACAGTGGGGGGCAACAATGGGCTGCAATATGGCAATGAAGGTGAAGGTGAGATGTGACCAGGTAGGTGTGTGCACAAGCTCATGTAATGGGAATCACTGATAACAGTTATCGTCAAATGCTCTCTTGGGCCCAAACACACTTTATTTTAAAAGATCTTAAAATGTGCTAGAACAAACTAAATGCATCCATCTTCTCAACCTATGGGTTTGTGACCCCTTTGGGAGTCGAACGACCCTTCCCAGGGGTCACAGTCACCCGATTTATAACAGTATCAAAATTAGTTATGAAGTAGCAACAAAATAATTTTATGGTTGAGGGGTCACAACTTGAGGAACTGTATTACAAGGTCGTGGCATTAGGAAGGTTGAGAACCACTGACCTAGAAGAGCTACATCTTTTTCAAATGGACCACAGCTTTATCATTATAGTAAAATACCTTGTGCTGTTATTGATCATCTTGCCCTCATCGTGTTATTTTTCTAAGAGAATACACGGGCATGTATAGTACCTACCCTAAAACTACATTCCCAAGTCTCAAATAACCTTTATCATGCCCCCCCCCCCGCCCCCCCAAAAAAAGATTTCAACTAGCTTCTTCCTTTGTGGTCCTAATATGCCTTATTCAATGTTGCAATCAAATCTTTTAGCGCTAATATTTACCTATACCTATAGATGAAGTCTGATGCCAAAAGCTTATAGCAACATGCCTGCCCAAATGGTGAAAACGATTCCTATTTAGATACCCCATCACCAGGGCCACACCAGCAAACCTTGAAATCTTTAGTTGTGCTTAAAAAAAAACTCTTATCCATGTCACCCTAGGTCATTTATACACTCAACATGGTGATAAGCCAAAAAGGAGAAAACGCTACATACTGGAAATACCTCGATCCTTTTATAGAACCGGATCTAGACCGTCTGAGCGAAGCCGATCTTGATCTACGCAAAGATACAGATCTAGATCGTCGAGGAGATGCAGATCTGGACCTAAAATGAAAATGACACCCAATCAATGGTTGAAGGGCACCTCCAAATAAAGTTCATCATTTTTTAAAACCTGTAGTCAACTCACTCTTACCTGTGTCCTCTGCTCCTGCTGCGTGAACGAGAATAGCGCCTTCCCCTGGATCTCGAATGTGATCTAGACCTTGACCTATTTTTCAAGTTAGAAAGTAATGTGATGTCAGAAGGCAGCTCATTTATATAATGTGTATGCCTTTGCTGAAATCAAATTTCCAAACTATTTAAATTTAGTGTCTCATTTGGAAATTAAAAATTTGGGGCCTATTATAATAATAATAATTATTATTATTACTTTTTAAACTACCTAAAAAAGGTTAAAAAGTTGAATTACATCTTAAATTACATAATACAAATCACTGTAATGTGTATTTAAAATAAACCTTGCAAGTTTGCAGGTCGACCCTCTTTGGCCCATGGTCTAGCAGTTCTAGACGATCTAGAAGTATCTATAGCCGATCGCTGCATCTAGATGTTTTCTTCAATCTAGCGACGATCAAACTGACAGCCAAATGAGCCAGATGAGGCTTGATTGACGCAAGAAGATTTTTCTAGTTGGGAATGTGGTCAATCTGGTGTTCCTCTTTCTAAACCGGAGGGGGCCCCAATTGTAAGCCAAATTTACGTTACGGCGATCACCGTCTCAAATTTTCTCCCCTTTAAAGAGTAAGGTGAAGCTAGGTGTAGATGACTCGAGGGGATCTGGCCTCTTATGCTGATCACCTCAAGGTCTAGGAGAATCTTAATTGTCGGATTTGCAAGGCGCCTCAGCATGATATCATAAGGCTCGTGACATTCTGAATCAAGGCGACTGACTCAAACGAAGAAACCTGAAAGGTTTTGACCAGGTTGATTATTAACATATTAACATTTTAAAATTAAAACAAAAATTGTAAAATACACCTGTACAATTAACATTCAAATTTAAAGACAAAACAATTATTTTCTCCCTCACCAATACAAAATTACTCCATTAACTAGTATACCAACCCTTTCTGTATCAAAATAAATACCTGCTTCTCCTTCGTCGGCTGTAACGGTGGCAATCATAAGCATAATGTCCCTTTTCTCCACACTCATAACATCTATCATTAGGATCAAAGGGACGGCGAGCAGGTGGCCTATCAAAACGAGATCGGCGAGGCATGCCTGTTGACAGCTCAACTCTCACTCGAGAACCACAGATTACCCTAGGAAAGCAACAGAATTCTCATGTTTAAAATAAGCATGTAAATCCTTGGTTTAGCAGCAAAAAACGTTCAAAGCATTTTATCCATTTAAGCATCTTTTATCTCTCCTAAGGCCTTCCAACACCATCTTCCCAGCCCTCTTCAAATTCAGGTCTTAAGCCATAAAATTATGATTAGCTTCTTCATACACAATACCTTCCAGGCTGCAGAACTCACTGCTGAGCACAGTAATATTTGCAACATGCAGTTAATGCAGACATCTTAACTTACTTCCCATCCAGTCCACGTACTGCATCTTCTGCATCTCTGGGATCTTCAAATTCCACAAAGGCAAATCCTGGAGGGTTTCTTGCGATCCACACTGTTCTTAAGGGACCATAATAGCTGAAAGCCCTTTCTAACTCTCCTTTGCCAGCACCGGTCCCCAGGTTACCAACATACACCTTGGTCTCTGTTTAAAAACGCAAAAGGAGAGGGGAATGGGGGGAGAAGGATGTGATGCAAAATCTTGCCCCAAGTTTGAGTTCTGTATCTAAAACCGGGGTGGTCCTTAAGCTTACGCAAAGCACGCTCAATGCGCTTTCAGACAGTTGCCTCTTTAAACCGTTAAGTGCGACAGTCGTGAAACTCCGTGTTTCCGACAAGCCGGGGACTGTTTTCTCACAACGACCCCAAGTGACAGAACAGAACTGCCTATAGGGGGTGTTCCCGAGGCGTACGCTTTCCGGGAGCGGACCGGCAGCTCTTTCTCCCGCGGAGCCGCAGGGTGGGCTCAACTCTTCAGCCTTTGGTCGAACAGTCGAGCGCTTAACCGCGGCGCAGCCACCGGGGCTCCTTCGGAACCGGAGGACCTCCGAGACGCTAGCACAGCTCGCGCGGTCCGA